TATTATGCCAATTAACTGAGTTTTTAATATTTGACGTGCAGTTGTGCAGATTATTTCAAGAAGTATTACAAGTTTTAGGTATTAAAGTATCTTTCAGTGACTTGACTTATATAAAATTTGTTAGTTCTTAGTTATAAGTCAATTTATTTTACTTTTCACCAATCATTCTTAACGTGGGGCATAAGCGATATAGAAATGAATTTGATTAATAAGTTAAAGGAATAATTTGAAATTAGACATACATTTACAACATTAATTTTGAAACAACATTGAATAGAAAATCCTGTCGCCTACAAGCCTTACGAACAAATATATGAATGCACGAATCAAAGAAGATTGTTTGTGAAGAAAGTGAAGAACATAGAAAGTGTTTCATCTCTCGCGCGCGGAAAGGAATAAATATTCGACTGATCTACTTTTCTTGCCAAACGTTTATTATGTAGCAAATATTGTGTAGAGAGAACATTTAAATACTTGTCTTGAGGCTTACAAGTAAAGAAATATTACATTTTAGACAAGAAATTCGTCGAGATATTATAATATAATATTATAATAAGATATTATAATAATATATTAAGATAAGATAAGATATAATAAGATATTATAATATATATAAATACCACTAAAATAACATTTTTACCTCAAATAAATTAAAATCAAATTATATTACATAATTTGCAAAATACTTTTCTAGGTAAATAAATTTGAATTAATTTGTTAGGTTAGGTTAGGCTATACCGGCGATCCCAAGCCATCATCTTAGACCTACAGGCTCATTGTGTTACCGTATAATTAAACTTTTAGCAAACCTTATAATGCTATTTAAGGGGAGGTCTTGTAGTTCGCCAAGATTCTCAAAAAAGAAATCCCCTGAAGTGGTAAGGCGGCGCGAGACATGTACTGGACAAAAGCAAGGCAGATAGGAGACACTTTCATCGTCCTTACCACAACTTCTACCATGGTTCCCTAAAAGCAGTGACCTGTATGTAAATATACAACAAGACTGATATCTCTACGTGGCAATTTAATCAGGGAGTTGTCTTTCCTTTATTTCAAAATGCTCAAATTTCATACAGATGCATGCATGTCTTTGAGTCTTTCCATCTTTTCTTAAAAAGTTCTGAGTTCGGAAGAACTCAGTTAACAGTTTACATGATGCCATTGGTATGCTCAATTAGTTAAGGTGTTAAGGTGCTTTATAATTGCCGAAATTTACCTATAACCCAGAACCCATATTAGAGAAATATTGAACTGCGACGACATCTCATTTGGAGATGTGTATCAGTCAAAGACTGTTATTATGACGAAACTATTTTCTTAAAAGAAACTATTTTTTTATGAAAAGGTTTTTGACAGTAATTACAACAACAAAATTTTGGGTTATTGAAAATATATCATAAATGTAAGTATTGTTAAACAATTTTTGAGACTGCAAGTACTAATGGTTAAGCTTGTATCCTGTTAAATTTGATTTTTGTTTTGTAGACACCTACCTACAAAATCATTTTTTATGAATATACCCGTTTATACAGGTTACAATCCGCGTATCAGTTGAAAGCAGTAAATTAATGTAGGAATAAATGCAACAATCAATCTACATATTTATCAGATATGTTAGAGATTTGACTTTTGCTCAAAAGATTTGTCTTAATTGCCTTATATCTTTACAAAAAATGACACTGAGTACTTTTTCATAAACATTTGCACACAACTTGTCCAAAATGATACAGTGATAATCTAAGTTAGTTTTAGATGTCTTTTGTCAACAATAATTATTTTTCATTTAACTTATAGAATGTACTTAACGACATAGTTGGATAGTGGTTAGTTCAAATGACTCTTCTGATATACCTACAACCGAAATTTTTGCTTGAAAGGCACTCAACAATATAAACCGATGTAGTGAAAAATTATACACGTTCCGTAAAATATTAACTGATACAATTGAAATGGATTATTTGAACTTGAAGTAAGTGTTCGATTTTGAAGGAAACTTGGGCTGACTTAGGACTTTGTTGATAATAACAATTTTGACGTTTCTATATACAGTTAAACGTACCATAATATAAAGAACAATATATGACAAAGCGAAATTCCATTGTTTGTGAGAAATAAATTATTTAAAATTCGCATACTTGTGTTAAAGACAAGGGAAATGTTAATTATTCACTTAAGTTATTTTCAAATTATTTTGTTTTCATCAAAATATGCTTTGTGTTACAATAAAGGATGGCTAATATAAAAATTTACATATTTTAATTGATATATTTTATATAGTTCTTTGGATGTTCATGTTCAACAATTATTTAAGCTTACACCATTAAAAGTTTACGCTGTTTGAGAAATAACAACATCTCATACTCAACGAAAACCCAAACCGATTTAATTGATTTAAACTGCACAAAGGATGAAATCACATGTGCCTGCTCACAAAATATATATGCAAAATATAATAAAAGATAACAAAACTAATGAAATATCCCTTTTATTTGCTCCTTAGGCAAACCCTCAAACACCACAAGAAACTTTTAGTCTAAGTGAAAACTGTGCCATGAACTTTTATTATTCCGTCAACACTTTCCAAGAACTTCAACTGAAAGGCATCAAAGAAATTCTCACGCAAACACACACATATATATATACTTTACCAACATATCAACGAATATGTTTTGACATTTTATATGAGAAAGTATAAAGGAAATTCTCGAAAGTTGCCATTTCGGTGAGTTAAGGTTTAACTACCTTTTGCGGGTAACCATTTTGTGTTCATTTAATATTTAAATTTTTTACTGATCTAAATACAGGCATGCAAATAATTTGATAGCTTCTCTGAAAACATAACCCCAACTTGTCTGCTTCAAATTGATTTGTCATGTTGTCATTACAACCATTTTGGATTCCCCTTTTATGGTTTTTATTTATGTCTTGGTTTGTGTTTCGCCTTGCTTTTGTGTGGTCCTTTGTGTAGGTGTTGCCTCTGCCCAAAAATGTATCCTTTTCAGTCGAGAAGGTATTTTACACAAATCTTCAATGGTGCCACTAATAATTTAACGTTTCTTTGCAACATTTTCATTTAAGTTTAAAGATTATTTCATCAAAGCAAAGATTTTTTTTTTCGGTTTGGCATTATTTTTACTGTGGCGTATGTCTAAAAATAAAAAAAGTAATTTGCGCTTTTAATTAAATTTAATGAAACTCAATTTACTTAGTCACTTCAGGTTTATGCACTGACATGGACGAAAAAAATAATGACAATTTTCTTTTTTGAAATTTAGTTAACAGGTATACGAAAATATTATAAATTTTTGCAAATAAACTTTTAAGTTTGTTTTGCGAAGATTTTTTGGGTAGAGATAATACTTCAAAGTGTTTTTGAAAATTGAGATTTTGTTTTATATACCTATTTATGTGAGGCATGGAGATATTTTTACTTTTTGCTATAGAACTATAACAGAAAATATAAAATTTGAACACATTTGCGAACTATTTAGGAAGCATTTAGTATTTGTAGAGAACATGACAATTACAGTTATGACAGCCGTATATATAAACGAAAGCTTTATAATCGAAGACATTAAGTTTGACTATTTGAACATTGATCGTCAATCTCTAAAGGCATGTAAGCGTATGCTAATTGGCCTATGGAAAAAATAAAAACCAAAATATCGAACGATTCAATCAGTTATGATATACATGTGAACTAAACCTTACTATCATCGATTTGTAAATTACAGTAAATGTAATCATAAAAATTCCTTAAAAAGTCAAAGAAACGGTTATTGCTAAACTAATAAGCATAAAAGAATAAACTTGGCGTAACTGAATTTTTAAGTCATCTAACGAAACCTAGCCAAAGACTTGTACTGGTTAGATTACTCAAATCACGCAAAGACGAATAGAATTAACCAGAAGATTAGTGGATAGAATTAACTTGATTTAACTTGTACACCAAACTATATATAACTAAAGTATCTAGCACCATATAAAATATAACATAAGACTGATTAATGAATGATTTTAAATAAAAATATGGTTATATATTTGGTGGTTTCAAAAGTCTGATCTCGAACTAATTTGTGATCGATATTTCAATCACAATTTTATTTCAATATAGTATTTGAACCTACTCATTAAATGTAAAAATTCAACATAATTCAAACGACATAAATCGGTTCTGGGCAGTTTATTACAACTAGAGTTCCTTAACACTACTCCACACTACTAAATTTCCAATGAATTCAAACTTTTCCATGCAAATATTAATCTACAGAAATACTTATCTTCTTACATACATTTAGTCTAAAAAGTACTCGAAATGATCACGTAGTATCTGCAAAAACGTTTTCTGTTGTCTTTTAAGTAGACCCTATTAGGTGCATTACTCTTGATGGTAGCGCTTGATCCAATGTACCACACATTTTCCGTAGTTTAATTGCGAGATGGTCTTTAACTCCTTCAGCGGTATTCTTTAATAGTTTAAAACGAGATTTAATGTCTTTTCCACGGTGATTATACAAGCATTGGAAACAGAAAAAAAAAGTCTGGAACCTAGTAATGTGCGTACAGTGTATGGTTGATCATAAGAGTATTCAATTTTCTGAAGAAAATGGAATGGACTTATTCAACCACATAATCAAATTGTTAATAGTATGACTGTAAAAGTAATTAATGTAATAAATTGTACTTAAATACGGTGCAGAGACACAACTAGTTGCGATGTCTCTAACGAACGCTTTTTATATTATAAATTCCAGTTACTTCTTACGTATAACGAATGTCAATAATTTTTGATATTTACTTTTGCGATATGTGTATATAATAACACCTTAAGTTATTTTCTTATTGCTTATTTTTAAACATCAAATTTTAATTAATTACTATAACAAGAAAACCGAAGTAGTTTTAATTTGTAATATTTTTTTGTTCATGTTACTGAAATAATTAAGTGAGTGTATCAACCATTTAAAATGTTTATTGAAAAATGTTTACTATTTTTTCAGCTGCGAAAAATTCAACAAAAACTGCAACACTATCAACAGTTTAAAATTGAACGATAAATATAAATCAAGAAAAGATCCAGCAAAGAAGAAAAATAATTAAAATTCAATTTCAATTACGCATGAAAAGGAAAATCAATTAAAAATACCAGGAAAAGGTTCATTTCCAGTATTTGAGCAAACTATGAAGGAAGTCTCATGACGTTTTTCAACACTGGCAACTGATTGAAATATGCAAAAACCTATACGCTGCTTATGAAATATTTAAGTACATAAAAAAATATATCCATGAACAAATTTATACACGAATGTAAAATAAATAAATAACAAAAATATTAACCATAGATTAAAATTAAAACAAAGCTAATAAAAAAAATGTATTCAATTAAATTAATTTAAATAATAATATTATGAAACACGTATAGCTGCGTTTTTAAAATAATAGATTTATAAATTCGATACGAAAACGTGAATGAAATTAAATTAAATGTAGCAGTAAACCAATTAAGATCCCTGCTAATAATTTTATTTTAGAGTATACTAAAGTGTTCAGCAAATTGAATAAAAAAAAAACTTATTTATCTGTAACTATTAACATTCCTTCGAACCTGTTCTTCTAAAACCTTGTGCCAAAAATTTATGTTAAAAATTGAATTTAAATAATATTTACTATCAATTGAATATTTTCATTATAAAAAAACAATAAAATCTATTGTAGCTTTCCTAGAACCACGAAAACCTATGAAATTTATGAATTAAATATAAAGAAATAATAATATTTGATGCAAAGTTAATCAAAAGCTCAGCAAACATAATAGAGTAAATAAAAGATTATATGGAAAATAAATTCGATTTATTTAAAATGCAATATTCTTTACTGTAATTGAAATTTCATTTAATATTTAAAGCAAACAAATAAAATATTGTAAATTGAAAATTTAAATTTTCAGAAATTATATGCACAATTTAATTGTGTTTACCTATAAATAAAATTGTTTTAAAATTTTAATTAATATTGTTTTCATTTACACAATAAACAAAAAATTAATTTTAGTAAATTAAATAAATATTAAATAATAAAAAAAATCGAATCAGTTTGATTTTTTATTTGAATAGATTTAAACAATGGAAATGTTACTCATACGCTACGATGTGCCAAAACTGAATGGCATACAAAATACATACGAATGCTTTCATTTGATTTAAATTAAAGATACATTTATTTTTATTATTAATAATTCAAATGAAATTGAAGCAATTTTCTGATATTTAATCAATTTTAATTGTATTTCATTAAATTATGGACCCATATATTGCATTATACTATTTCAAACTCACACTGACTCAAAATAATTAATGTTGTGAAAATATTACTTACTATAGCTTATATTAATATATTTTATTTTACTTTTTAATTAATTTTGCTTACTTTATAAGAGATTTATAGTTTTTTGTTCATTTAAAATGAAACTATTTCGTAAGTCTCGCAAAATCAAAGTCTGACAAAACCAATTAGAAAGTAATCAAACGATAGACATCACATGATTTTTTTTCTCAACATATATTTTCATGGCTTGCTTTAAAATATTCTTTTTCGTCTAATTTCCTTTAAATTTACGTCACTAGTTTTAACAATCCTATAGTGTATAGATGCCATTTCAGCAGAAAATGACCGGATGGTTTGGAAAATACCACAAAATGGCAGCTTTTAGCTCTTTATTTAACAAAAATAGTGCTTCACAACCAATTAGCAAACAATTGAAGTTATTGCAACAATTAGAACAGAGATTTTTTGATTAATTGAGTTTTTAGTTGACCATACAGTTGTTTCAAGTATTGTCAGGAACTCATTATTAGTGGTCTGTTTGGAAATATTTCTTACACTAGTAGTTAATTATTTATAAGTTATTTTTAACGTAAAAGTATCAAGGGTTGCAATCTCTTGGTTAAGCGACGAGTATCGATTGCTGGTGTTGTTGTAATTTTTGAAGAGCAGGACTCTTATATAGCTCGGTGGAAGGTGCAGATTGACCTAAACACTTGAACCTTTGTTTTTGCATAGAATTCGATTATTAAACTGTTTAGTTCAATTTGTACCATTACTAAGAAATGTACTGAAGTAACTGGTTTCTAAACTAAGAATGAATTAAATGATCGAAAGGAAAATTTGGCTGTATTCTTATAAAAGAAAAAAAATAAGACAGCAGTAAAGACACATTTTAGACAAATTTAAAGAACTTTCTAATGAATGGAAAAATGGATTATTATGATCACTTACAATGATATAAAGCTGTGTATTAGGTAAAGCAATAAGAATTATATAGTCAAGACAATTTTTGTTTATTAACTTTTTTATTATTCACATAATCTTATGCTTATTGTAGATTAACAATAAATTAATTAAATTAACTAAATTAAATTTTAATTATTATTTATTCCATATGTAAAAGAGAAAGAACACTTTCATTAATAAACTTTTGCTTTCATCTTAGCTTCATTGAGATCAATAGTAAAAGCTCATTTAAAAATTCTGTTAATTTTAATGATTTTTATTTTTATTATTTTTAAATATTGTAGAGCACTTCAATCTGAATAGATCTGTTACATATAGTCCTGACCTATAATTATGTATATTTCCTCTTTGTATATATTTCAATACAGTTTGAGATTTCCTGTTCTACATATTATCTAATTGGTGATGCCTCTGTCTCCTGAAAGCTTGACATTTACAAAGAATATGCTCTGAACGAGGATATTTCAGTTGATATTCCATATGCTGGGATAAATGATAAAGTAATCTTAAGGTGGAGTACCTAAACTTAAACTGCTTAGGTATCTTACTTAATATTCCTTACGCTGGAATTAAAAAGCGTTTTCCTTGACATTGATTTTCACTACTAAGCCAGTGGTCTGTGGTCCCGATGACATCATTCAAGCGACTTTTTGAGAGTTCACAGAAAAGGTTTGGACCAAAAAAAATATGTTAAACGGCATCAATATGACAAAACATAATTTGTTATCTTAAATTTTCTCAATAATACAAGACTGTATTTCAAAAAAATACAATATCGTCTTATTTTCAGTGCAAAACAAAATGATATTGCTATAACCTAGACCCTAATGGGAAGGGTGTACCAAAAAAAATTTACTTTTATAATTATTTGCTTTTTTGCTTATTATGCCGATCCGATGTATTTTGTAAAATATTCTGCCAAAATTATTTTTTTCTGAAAAATAATGTGATGGGAAGTATATTATAATATTTCATTTCTCCTTTCATTTAATCTATACAACCGATGATGGTTTAATAGAAATAAATTAACTACTCCAAAACTATGTAGCATATCCTTTTATACAAAAGTAAAAATGTTGTCGTTCGCCAATATCTCAAAAATATATAAAAATAAGATTTTTATTATTACTTTTAGATTCAGCTGACCTAATTAGTTATGAAATTACTCAATTTAACGCTGTGCAAAATTATTGTTGATTAGTATAATGAGCTCATAAGAGGAGTGGATTACTTCACCAGCTAAAATATGAAAAAAAAACACCACGTTTATTAGTTTTTGGCCAAAATATCTATATCAAAAGGGCACAATAGGCCCGATGGTCACCGTGCCACATCTCCTAACAATAACAATAATCTATATTAAAAAACATCTGTTCTTAATATATCTACTTACTAAGCAACTGGAGAAAGTTTATCCATGTTAGTTTTATGGAACTAAATTTTATAAGTTATATCAAAGCGGACTAACTGCTGCACTATTGGTCAAATCATACCAGTTTCTATACAAAATTTTTCCACATTCAAACCTAGCTTTTTATATACTTTAGAACTGCAAACTGTAGAATCATTAAATTACTAAAGTAAAAAACTACCTTCTCCTATCTATATTTATTTGCAATAAGAGTATCCTTTGTTTGTTAATGAATGCTTGTTCAACTTTTAAAATTGCGTTTGCTACTGACATCTCTGATGCATGAAGTGAAAAATATCACATGACAATTTGATATTTTGTTATTTAAAATAGAACATAAATATTTAATATTAAATTAAAAATTGAAAAACGATTCTAGTCAGTTCTGTGCATTTAAGCCCAATCCGATATATATAAAAAGCAGCAGCAGAAAAATGTATGTTCATAAGAGGAGCACACCGAACACCAGTTGTTGTCAAGTATCCTGCCTGCTACCATGAAAAGGATTACTCACTTTACAATTTATGCCAACATATTTTCATAAGGAATAAAATCCTTTTTCGTTTTGTTAAACAGCAGAACTAAGGATGTAGATACTATAAATATTGCACTTTCTAATGTGTTTGCATTTGGCATTTGTTTTATTTGCTCATGGCTTCGCCGGTGTGTCATATGCCCAGCTCGTAAAATCATGTGCTGCAAGCACTTTTATTGAATTTTACACCTAAAATTACTAATAAATCAATTCAGAAATTAAATTGCAAAGGAAATTTATGTTTGTAACCTGACGAAAAATAATAAAAAATATTCCGAATATCAAACTCAAACGGGAAGATTTGTGATAAACTGAGTTCATATTTAGATTTCTGTGACCTACTTACGAGTGCCAAGTAAAATAAATTAAATTTTTTATGTGATAAATAACAATTTAAAAATTTTTAAATAAAGGTACATATTAACTTAAATAAAACAAAAATATTGGTTTGAGTTAGAGTACTGTTTGGCAAGTAAAATGGGTCGGTATTGCTTTTAAATATCTTTTTATTTGAAGTATTCAATACACGTATAAAATCGCAATTTCATTACATTGAGCCATACTCGGTAAAATAAAAAATATGTGTTTTTCTTCGAAATCATGAGTTTACAAAGATAAGTTTAGTCAGAGTTTCATATATCAGAGTATATAAAATAAACTCTGAATATAATCAGTGTTTTTGTACTGAAATTCACATTAGTGAATTTTTATTTTCTGAGTTTATTCACAAATCAAAAGACACATCTATTGGAGTTGCTCCATACTATTTCATTATTTATTAAATTTAGTTTTTAATCTATATTTTAAATAAAATTATAATTATTTTGTACTCATCACTACACCTAAAATTTAGAATGTCGTCATAAGTTTAATTGAAACAATTATGCTCTTCTAATAATGTTATTCATGACTAAATGTAATCCCGTAAGAACCAATATACAACCATAGGTTAGGTTAGTTTCGAAAGGCGCGTGCTGACCGTTGTCAGCACTTCCACTCGGAGGCATATATTCCCATTGTGATGCCATTGTGATTTTCCCGGGTGAAGC